ATATGATTGTACAATCCCGACGCACTCCTAAATGCAGTCGTTATCCAAAGAGTGATCAAGATAGCAAACTACCTACCCAACAAATAACAAAAATCGTGTTAAGTCATTCTTAATGATACTTGAATTGGAAATTACAAAGTCCCGAGGTGTCAGGAACAGGATCTTTGTCACACTTTGGACCCTACATTTATGGAGTGACCTTTTACATCAGCTTAAAAACCGGAATGTCAATTAAACTGTCACAAATCAAGAATTAGATCCAACTATTCTCTCGCATGATCACTTGAAAGTTTATTAAATAGTGCACATTTTCTTAAACCTCAAGCAATGACTATTTGTGCTCTTAGAATGAACTTTTGTGTTATCTGCATACTATAGACTGTGTCTCTCCTGATGAAGTAGCTTGTACCGAACGGTAGAGGGCGTCCGCATCATCTGTCCAGACTAACCGTCCGTGTGCGTCAACAATCTGACCTATCATAACGATTGAGCAATTCGCTCAACACCTTCATATCTGTCGCGTTTTTATCACCGCTTATCAATTAGCAACGGGTATTACACGCAATCAAGACAAGATAGATAAAATGCTGAAAACCAATTCAGTCCATGAAATACCTTAAAGTGGCAACCTGTAGTCCATTTTTTTTAACTCTAACTTGAGCCTGATGGTTACTGTACCTTTGAGGGTTGTAGATTAACGAATTTCTGCATGTCACGGACAAAATGTGGCTCATAAACCGGCGTTTATCGCCGGTTACCTATAAGCTTGAAGCAGCCGAGAACATTTCTAGTTTCCCCTGATTGATTGCCAGTCCATCGCAGGTCGCTCCTCAGCTAATGTCGGTACCAATTTATACTCATGCGTGGAGAGAGGCAAGTGGAGTAAAGTGGCTTGCCCAAGGACACAACATTATGACCAGCAGCTGGATTCGAGCCCCTGACCCTCTGACCGTACGAGCCACACTTCCAATAACCACAAGGCCATAATAATATTCGAGAGTTTTGAGATAATTAAACAGACCTCACTTGAAACAATTATACAAAACAAATATGGAATAAAACATCAAGCTTGTCTGTTGATCTTAACATAAAGCAGTTATAACAAACTCAAATCACCATCGTGGATATGTGACCTTTCACACTCAATATGCTGCAGATGCACAAATTGAGTTAGCCACATCGGACATTGTCTTTAAGCTCTCTAGCCTAACCATTGACCGGCTGGTATTTGTTTTAGGTTGCCAGGCTGTGGACACAGTCATCAAAACCAATGACACAAAGGATATTATGTGACTCCACGCCAGGGCTTGATACACGGTAAATCTAACCGTATGCCAGGCACGGTTACGCACACACAAGCAAAGGCCGTGATGTGTACGGACGTTTGATTATTGAGGACCGGTTAAATGCCAATAAAATTTAAGCCTTTTGCAAACAAAGCCGCGGCACCGTAGGCAAAACATCGAGAAAATAAATCGATACGCTTCTCAAACATGTTTCCCCGATATGCAAGTTTGGAGACAGTTAGATGATAATGGAACTGTTGCCGTCAACACTGTAAAAGGAGGAGAAACATTCAATTCGGACGCAATTTAGGTAAGTTTAAATTCCTCGTAGATTTTTTCAGTAGACGGGGTAGATTGCATACAAGTTGTTATTGTTATCTGTGGAAGGTAAATACATTGAAATGTATATGGAAACCTGTAGGCTTATGCATTTTGTCAAAAACAAGTTTTAAAATATGCTTATTGAACCCCAAACATTTTGAACTAGTTCCTCGATACAGAGAAAAGAATCACCCTGAAGTTTTTTTTAATAATTTGAATGTGACTTTTTCAGATATCTTCAAGAAATACAGTTTAATATGACACCAGTAGTTTAGAATTAAATCTAAATCTCATAACTGGATATTGCGATGTTCAGGGCTGTTGTGTAATAGTTTAGCAGCTGACAATTCAAACAGTATAAATCCAAGATATTTGCAAAATCTTTTCACAAAGTTTTCTTTAATAGGGCCGTATGTGTTGGACCATGGATGAATAAGTTTGGACTAAAAAAACCACAGGATCACTTCAACGTACGAAACCCAACACAGGTCGTCCCAAAAATGTTGTGCTAGCAGATGTCCTTTAATTTCTGAAAAACTACTTATCATGAGTATTCTATCTTGATGGAGTAATCAGTGAAAATGCCATGGAAATCCGTTCATGCAAAACGTAGATCTACCGGATTGTAAAAGGCTATGGGTTTTTCACACATTCCAATAACTGGATTTACACAGTTAGTGATATCAGTGCATCAGGTTGTCATGGGCTTTAATTAAGTTAACTGTGTAAATCCCATCCCATTAGAACGGGTGAAAAACCCACAGTCATTTATAATCTGTTAGATCTCTGGCTTGCCTCAACAAATTTCCATGGCATTTTCACTGGATATACACAAGAGTATAATTAATATGCTCCATTAAGGTGAAACACTCATGTTAAGTAGTTTTTGAGAAATTAAATATCTGCTTGGACAATTTTTGTTGGGACACACTGTCGATTGTTAGGCATAACAGTTTTTTCATGTGCGTTGACTAAGAATATAATTATGTATTATTAAAATTAATTACATGTTAACTGCAGGTGCCTTTGACAATTCTCGACAAGTACAATTAATGGTTCTCATTCTTCGAGTTTCCGCCGTTAATTCACTGACACAAGCTCATGACCGCGACAGTAAATTTGCTAATATTGCCGGGGGAGTATCATCGAGTTGAGTACTTCGAGAGTGGTAGATTCAAGGATCACACAGTTCGGTGTTAGTTATTGACATTGATACGATTGATAAAGAAGAAAAACTAAAAAGGTCGATCAGATTATGATGTTGTTCAAGTTGCTAATTTATTATCGCCAAGATTGCGACTGAATCGATGTCAGCGTATGTGAACTCATGGCTCCAACTTGAAGTTGATAACTAATTAGGCCTGTAGAGATATTTACTGCACCACTCTGAAATGGAAGAATAGATGCTAATCAGATTCAAGTAGGCATTTAGGATCAGCTGAGCAGCAACTGCAAACCAGTCAAATATATTTCTAGTCACGATTATTGACTCTAAAACAAGCGATGAATCAAGGAGGGAGGTTGGTCGAAAGCCTAAACAATCGGCGCGTGTTGCCTGCAGCGGCTGGAATTTATTTCAGTTCCCCAAAACAGACGTCAGTGTTTTGAGTCTCTATAGTTATTAGTGCAGCAATCGATATAACAGGTGATTTTTTTTTTGGGGGGGGATATTAACCCAGGGTATCTATAAAGACCGCTTCTAATTGTCTCCGTAACTGTTAAATTGACAAGTGAGCAAGTTTTCAAATAATTATGCGAGCCAGTAATTGTATAACTTGCTTCACTATACATTAAATTGACGATATAGAATCACAGGTGCATTTTGACAACATTGCCGAAATGAAGTTCGTAAATAATATTTTGATACATGTATTTTTTATCTATTGCTAAAAATGACATCGTGTTTAATAATTCAAAAGTACATTTCCCACAGGAAATTAAACTAGCGACAAAGACAATTTGACATCTCAAAGACAGCAGGTGTAACAAGTGAAAAGAATTCAAAAGACAAAGTGTAAAGAAAGTGCAATGACAACATCACAAAGTGCAATCGTCAACGTTGCCCTTTTGATTTGAAAGCATCTTCTCGCTAAAACAATTTCAGTTTCATGCAGTTTTTTTTTAATTTTTCTTGGCCATTTCCTCGTAATTTCGTTTTTTTTTATTCATTAGACCTACAATGATCAAAAGTTGAGGATGTAAAATTCCTTTTACTGAAATATCTGATAAAAAAAGCAAAGATGGACCCTGTTTTATTTTTCGATCTTGAAATGATTGTGCTTGCGGGTAAAAACAAAAATCGAAACTCCCAGACAGTTTTCACAGTGTCGTTCACCAGACAGCACCAGCGCTAGTAGGGGGCTGACGAGCGAGTTTCCCCCGTGCGTGTTTCCTCTCCATCGCGTCACTCGTCCTCCGGTCGTCGAAAAGACCATCTGTTACAGGAAACGTGGACGGTGGCCATTCTCTCACCTGTAAAGGAACCTGTGACGCACGTCCGTTTTGCACAATTTACAGCTGCTCTCAGTATTCACTTGAAAGTGCTAGCCATGTGTTTATTCCTTGGAATGAACCTTGGAGTTTTTGTAAGTAGCACATAATTTTTCTTAAGGGGTATGTCCTTCTCAACTTTTAGAAACGCAAATCTTCACAGAAATATATCTGGATGTGTCTGTGGCTATTTCTGAAACCACGTCCCTGTCCCCAGTTTGAAATTCGTTTTCTGACTTCAATGCTTTTGGTCCCTGATTCGTGAGACTGGCTAAAAAATACGTCTATTTTCTGCTATATCAGTAAAATCAAATTATAAAGCATGAAACCAATTATTACACCCCTTCTTTCTTTTCTATTGTTAGGAGTATGGGAGGGGAAACAAAGGCAAAGCCAAGGCTTGAAAAATGACCCAGAACAGTTAGGCTGTATACCAGACTCTAAATTAACCATAATTCTGCTCTTTTTTTAAGTTGGTTTGATGTGCATGCTGTACAACAATTTAGCTGAATTTGCTTTTCTGTCAAAATCCTAAATGAGCAACACGTAATTTTGCACACCTGCCATACAGCGTGTAATGCATAATGGCCTGCCGGGTTGTCAGCTTATCAAGTCTGCGCATGATCACTGACTCGTCGATGTTTCGATCTGTAGCTATTCTTGCGTACACGGAGATATTTAACTCTGAAAGGACGGACAATTGCAGTCTTTAAAACTTGATGAGGGAGACGGGTGGGCTGTGCACCTCCCTCCGTACACGATCGTTAATAATAAATGTCAGGAATACACACACGATGTTTCTGCTGTGTAAACGTCTGTATGTAGACAACGATGGATGAAATATGGTGAACTAAACCATCTGTACGATTTTGAAGATGCTAACAGCAGAGTAAAATCCAAAGTTGACTGCAACTCTCAACTTGTGACGGTAATGACGAACAGTCGGTAACCGAAATGTTGCCAGATTCGGTGGAAAGACCCCGGCGGCTTCCAGTCAGCGCCATAGCCTACCGGACACAGGTAAACGTGTGTTCGTTTCGAACACGAGAATCGCACAGCTTTTAACCCTGTAAAGGAACTGAAACATAACCATGTTTCAGAAGGGGCAGACATTAATTTGATAAAAAAACTCACATAGGAATCGTTAGATTTATTTCGTTGGAAGTCGAGAAGGGAGCAACGTAGTGAGTGGTATCGCGGAACAGGGCTGCCATGCGCTACCTGAAATAAAAAAAAGAAATAATTTATTTTTTCAAGTTTTTTTAATCGCTTTATTTTCTTTTTCGAATAGAATCTCAAACTCTCAAAACAAATAATTTAAAAGAAACTGACTGGTGTTTCTAAAAGAACGCACTTGATCAAGAAATATACGCCAATCGTTGTAGCGTTTGAATGATATATTTTTACCATGAATTTCCAATAAATTACTCCAAATAAAAATAAAGTTGGTTTGACACTTTTTTCATTCGCCCACAGCTGACCTTGAATGCTTAGTAAACTTGACGTTATTCAGCCTAAGTTGATTACGGTACTTTTTATGTACAAAACTGCATCTCGAGAGCAAGATACAAAACCCTCCTTTAATTTTTACATCTATTAATTTACTCACATCTTGCCTAGTAATAATTAACAAGACAATAAACATTAATCGTATAAAACAAAGTCGATCAGCTATTGCATAAGGTGCACCTCCCATCAAAGCACTGCAAGACTGCGTCTAATAGATGAATTCGTGTAAATTTACTTGGTCTCCGACTGAAGTAATGAGACATTAAAGTTCTCATTACTCAGCTAAACCCCCGATATCCCACAGAAGGTGGACGCGCACCAGATTGTAGCCTTGATGTTGTCCTCGTGTGAACCAAAACAACTGTCACTCGATACCGGCCCAGCTTGTTGCTAGTTACTCGGTTACAAGCTTACCTGTTATGAACATTTGTGTCGATTTTGGAACTCGTAAAATAACCCCTCAACTCTTAGAAAAAGCCTTGTAAGTGATTTTGTGTTTGTGTGCTTGGTAACAGTCACGCACGGTTTGCATTACATAGTATAAAGGTTTGAACTTTCTGCCTGTTTTTCGAATCCGTTGATTTCAAAGTTTGTCATTCTAGCATTTTTTTTCTCCAAAATCGTTCCAACAAATCTACATTTTCGACTGCTCAACAACATCGAGCATTGATCATAACACTCTTTTTTTTGTAAATCTGGCTAAGAACGTATTTTTTTCACAACCTTAATGCTTGCGTCTTTTCTGTTTTAAAAAGTCTTAACACATTTTGTTTGGCTAAATATTTAAGTTTATGTGTCTTCTGTAAATAATTTTATAAATGAGATTTCAAACGTTGCATGGTGGTAGTATAGATTTGCGGTAACACCGAGTGGCAATCTGTTTTGGGAAGATGTGTGGTTCTTAAAGGAACCGGTTGGTTGTAAAACTCGATGTTCCGAAGACGATCAGAGCATACTGATCGGAACGTCGAGTTTACAACAATCGGTTCTTTTCAGAACCATACATCTTTCCAAAAGAGATCTTCACATGGTGTTACCGCAAACCTTCACTATAGTTGATAATTTTGTTATACTCTCGGAACTTCCGTCTCATCCGTTCAGACCTTGTAGACGGAATTTAAGGAACACAGGGGTAGATCTCACATGAGGTTTCACTTGCTAATTGTGTGTGTTAACCTCCTCCTGCCATTTCCAACTCCGCCCACCTCCTCTCTCAATTAACGATAGATACCCACATCAACCCGAGTACAGGATAACCTTTGATGTTCAAATACACTGCGTGCATGCGGGCGATTGCATGCCAACAAATCTGATTTACAATGTTTGCCGAGTTAAGTGGCTGTCAAAGATACGCCATTATCATTAAGACGCATCTTCGTCGTTATCCCATCTTTTATGGGGGGATGTTGTCATAACAACGGAATGACGTCATTCAGACTACTTACAACCGAGTTATCCTGTTTCCTTTTTCCCCTTCAAAATAATTGCAGGGATGAAACAGACTTAATACTGGCAAGAATAAATCAAGAATATAATGTAATAACCGAATTTAACACAGGTCTGATGGCAATGTCACGATACTATTCATTAAAATATATGTCAAGTATATGTACGAAGTCATTGTAATGGTGAACCCCATTTTGGTTGCCAAAGTAACGTGTCAGTCCAACTCGATGGGAAACAGCCGACTCGATGCATGGACACCAACATTATGACTATAGTCATTATTCATCGATAATTGGAAAAGCAAAGACATCGGCAAAACGAGCGGATACTGCAGATTTATCTTGTCTCATTTGCCCGGTATTTCTGTGTATCCTGCCAATATAGAGACCACTCGCCATTAATGGTGAGGATGCGCTTGTGTTAGTCTGTGTAAATCCTGTGGATTTCTTTTTATTCTCCAACATAAAACAAGTCATTCACGACAGCCCAACGACAACAGACTACATGCTCAATCAGCAAATTCGCCAATAGGACATTTTGGATCGTTGCTTATTGAAGAAAATCTTTGACTGGGCGATTCCACAGAAAAGTTGTGGGAGAGACTATTGTATCTAAAATCGTGGAACATTTGTTTACACCTTTATTTTCATCCTCGTATTATGTGGACGATTGTTTCATGAAAATAGTGTTCTTAAGGAGGTCACGGACCTTGAATGACGACTAAATATTGTTTTTGCCTGATGTAAGCCGAAGGCAACAGTCTTCATTAGCTAAACTAACCCTTCGGATGGCCTTGTTTTAACTCTCGAATGTCATACATCATTTTTTTGTAAGGACTCCTCTTTCCTGATTTGTATTGTCAAATAGGGTGTAAACGCATACAGAGGTTAGGCATTTCAACAGTGACTGTCTTTAATCGTTGTTTGTTTGCATGCTTTCTCTCCAGCTCCAAGATGTCAAAATGGCTGCCTGCTTCACCATAAAGAACCCCCAAGACGCCGCCATCTACGTCACGGGACTGTCTGCCAGCAACTCCTGGCCCTGCCCGAGACCACAGACCCACGGACCAACCCAGACACCGTCAACGCCTTCGCTTCATACCCGGCGACACTCGGACAAGTCCCTGCAACTCAGCCCTGGCTACCGGCCCGTGTTGGCCGTGACGCGGCGAAGTTTGCCCACCGCTGACACCACGCATGGAACGGTAGCGGTCTCAGAAAACCAGGACAGTAGGTTTCTATCCGCGGACCCTACATTCCGAGAGTTACGAAACGGGAGTTTCAAGCAAAACGCCCCCTCGACATTGGGGCGCCCTCTTCCACCATGCAACGTTCTGAAGAGTAAATCTTCCTTGATGTCTCGGGACACGTCTACCAAATCGCGTTCCTCTTTCAGTTTCCTTAGCAAATCAAAAGTTGACCTCAGGACAGGGTTCATGAGGTCCCTGTCTAGGCCGACTCCGGGCGAGCTGGATTTGAAGCACCACCGAGACTTGCAAGACAGCAGGAGAAGGGAGAGAGATGGTGAACCGGACTTGGACAAGCTCAACATGACAGAGATCATGCGAATGTTGAAGAGCAAGTCCCCCGTCCAGACAGGAACTACTCAAGACACAACTCCGACAAGTGAAGAATGTCAGAAATTTACCAACACTCAGGAAAGAGACAGTGATGATTACAATGCTGTTCAAACTGATTCTGTACATGGACAGTCACCTAAAACCAAGTTGAAAGCTCCGCTCTTTACGCATGAGATTCCTTGTGAGCCACCGCTTGTGTCAAACAAGCACAAGAACAAGGATCACAAGCTCAGACTTCAAGCACTGTACTCGCAGTACAACAAGTATGGATTGGAAGATGTCAAATCTCACGAGATTTCCACGCAGGGTCGGACTTCCAAGGACCACGACAGGAAAGTGGCTGAGCAAATGGCTCGAAGACCGTCTAGACCATCAGAGCATGAGAACCGGATGCGAGTTAACATCCTGTCGCTTGAGAGTTTCGGAGATGAAACTGGCGAATTTACGGGAGACGTTTATCAGACCAGTTCGTCAGAGTCGTGCAGTGAACAGAGCAGTTGGTCTGGCTCCGGTGGGGAAAGGTACACGCCGCGTAACGCAGGTGCTCCGCTCTTGCACCCAGACTCCTCACATGGGGAGCAGGGCAGGCAGTGTCCCCGTTGCAAAGGGGCACAATCCGGGAAACGAACTCGCTCAACGCGAAGAGTTAGGTACGCGGAGCCGGTTGTGGCACCGAGTCCGGACGGTAATGGTAGCCGGGGGATAGCTAGAATGGCTGGGAGGGACTTATATGATGACCCGGTACAATACTTCGATCTGGAACCCCATCATTACAAGATTCCCTTCGCTGAGTACATCAGCATCAGCCACCCGATGAGACCTCCGGCCAACAGCCCCGTCAGCGTTCTCTCCGAGGACGAAGGTGACCACGATCTTTTGAATATGCATGAGCGTCAATCTGACCAATGGTCGTTGAGCTATCACGCGAAGAGCGCCCCCACTCGAGCGAGCAGCGCCAGCGGCTTTATCAAGGGCCAGGTCAAAGTTGAATCGCACGGGTCAAATAAAGCAACCATTGACATTTTCTTACCGCAGATGACGTAATTAATCAGTCATGTGTTTAGAATAACAATTTTAGTATGAATACCTTGCCCACACTACATATAGCTGACAGTATTTTATCAAACCACAGCATAGTAAACCTTGAGCTACATCTAAATGATATTTTACGAAAAGTTGACAATATGCCCAAGAAGACTCCGTCAACTTTACGATGTTTTAATTCCTGTTTTGTGAGAGAGTAATATTGCACTTGATCCCGGAGCCGGAAGGGGGCATGGGACTAAAGGTAGCGCTTTTTTATACCATTTTTGAGTTGAGAGTAAATATGAAAAGCTGTCAGAAAGAATTTCACTATAAGGGAGGGTCATTCATTCCCTCTATCGACAGCCGGTTCAAGTGCGCCCTCCATGCCCGTTTTAAACTTTATTATCTTTTAAAAACTCTCCACTCTATAAATTATCAAAGCGTACTTTAAATTGAACACATTTTATCATCAGGATTAAGATTCTAGAGAAAAAGAAATATAATAAAATTATTTATAAAATAACTTTTTATCTTGTTGTCTTTATTGTTTTATATTCTCCGACCGTTCGTTTTATCGCACAGTAACGCAAAATAGCCCTTTCATTTTCTTTTTCTTTCGTCGTCAGTAACCGATAACCGACATTTCCATAATGTACAAAGCTTCATTGTCAGTTATTGTGACACCAAACGTTTGTTGTGATGGGAAAACATTGGAGCGGTGGTCAGCTGTCAACGATCGGTTGGGCGTTATCAAAATTGTTTAATTCAGTTTAAGAGATTGAGATCAAAACAATTGTTATGACCAACCTGAAACTAAGAATATCCGATTGGACATCATTGTTTTTTCTTCGAATTCGTCACTGTTAGATAAGTCAATCAATGCTAAACGATAAGATAACTAGAACAGAAATTGGTATTTTTGTTTCATTTTTGTTTCGTTAGAAAATTTATCATCTTGGGACTTTCAATAGACTTTTGAGACAAAGGTGCATTTATCCTGCTCCAAATTCTGGTGAAAACAAAGAATGGACAAACGTATAAATATTAGTCTGGAACGAGAGACGAACCACTGACTTAGAAGCTCTCCGAGTGATACGCAGCGAATTCAGACCGGCTCCTCCGAAGTATTTCCCCGTCGATATCCTGACATCACCCGATAAACCATCACCATGAAGCTCCTTCTTCTACTGGCGGCGGCAGTTGCCCTAGCGAGTAAGTCTGAACAATTTATTCATCATTCTTGTTGCAGTTTATTAGACTCTTTTATGGATTGTCGCCACACTGCTAGATGTGTTGTACAACATTCTTGGACAGTTTTCACTCTTTTTCTCGTAATTTCATCTCTGGCAACTAAACCTACAATTAGTTTTACTAACTTCATACAGCTTACAGTCAGAGCACACTAATCCGCTTTTAATAAGAACCACATAATCTCTTTTAGAGTTTCAGAGCTGTAGTCGCTTTCCACCTACCTGCATCTGCTTTACTTGTGATTTAGCAGCATGTAATTGCGATAGTAAAAACAAAGTAACAAAAAGGATGGAATGCTATCATGTTTAAATACATGTAATAATACAATACATGTAATAAACTTACAGCTCTAACACTTTGCAATATGAAAAATTCCACAACATGAAAAACTGTCGAAATTAGATCTTCCTTCCGAATTCCTTTCACGGGTTGTCAGAGTTTGTAAGAGTAAAGAGTTTGTATTCTGTATATTGCTTTCCCCGCAGATGGCGCAGCAGATCGTGAAACTACCAGTGTGCTGCAGTTTGGCAATATGATTCTCTGCCTGGTGGATCTGGGTCTCTGGTCTGGGCTGGACTACAACGGTTATGGCTGTTACTGTGGCTACGGAGGCTCAGGCAAAGCGCTGGATGCTACCGACCAGTAAGAATCAATTGCTTCGAATCTCCAAAAGCACCATCTATAAATTGACCTTTTGCTGCCACCATTTCAGTCACGTTCCCTGCTTCCAATATCGGTACAGAATGATAATGGTTTTGTGCAAAATGTACCAGACTTGCTATAATTCGTTCCAGCCTCGCTTTCATTACGTTGATTTGAATGGGAAAAGGTCACGATGGCCGTAACATGGTCTATTAGCTTCAAAGTTAAACTTCTCGATCCCAGCAAACGAAATGGTTTTCAATTCATGTTTCTAAAACTAAACTGTAATATTCCAGAGCAGCTCGCTAATAAATTCAATCTTATCAACGAGCATGCGCAGAAGCAATAAATGTATTTACGAAAGATACCCTTTCACAACGCTTATCCTGAATTAAGTCAAAGATCCAACACTGAAGACACGTTTCTGGTACCGTAATATACATACCAGAGAATCAGCTCGAAGCTCAGAAACAAGTCATGTGAAACAAAAATTATATTTATTTTGGATTGTAGATGCTGTGTAGAACACGATAACTGCTACGGTAGAGCTCCAACGGAGGGCGGATGCAATACCTTGGATACCTACTTAATCGACTACGACTACGAAAAAACCACTGACGCTAATGGCAACTGTGCCATCAAATGCAGTAAGAACTTTTTAAAGACATTATCTTTGTAAAGGGCGTACTATGCACGAGTTATACATCTATACTTTAACTAGTAAAAGAGCCCCAGGAGTTAGGGTTAAGCCTGGTTTCCATATCGACATTAAGCTTACGCAGACTACGCAGACTGCACGGACAGTACACGGAACTGTCGGCAAATTTGAACTCAAGCTTGCCGGCAGACTCAACTTTGTCGATCGTCTGCGAGGTAGTTTGCGTCTGTCTGAGTTGTCGGCGACACTTCCGGATGAAATGTTTCCATAATGTCTGCCTTGTAGTTTGGGTCCTGTATGCGTTTAACTTTACGTTTCTTACGTCGACATGGAAACTAAAGGCATGTATGATCATTTATCCCAAAAGTATATCTACCGAATTATTATCAGCAAATTAGTTTAGTTTTGATTGAAAATCGAACTAGTACTAAGCATCCCATAAAAGTCGGCTGGCTTTCTGTCGTTTGTAATAAAAACTAAAAGTGTTGGTGATGTCCAGCAATCAGTCAATTGACAGAGTGGAAACCATTGACGAAAATCATGCAATATGTGATCAAAAGGTTGCGCGTGATTCTTCATTGTTTTCTCACAAGTTGTAATATCCACTAAGCTGAAACTTCAGCGGGTTAAGCTGGGAACATCTTCTGTGGATTTTGAGGGGTGGTATTATTTGAAACGAACAGAATACATGAAAAGCAATACCTTCCCAAAAGCCTGCACACATTGCAAGTTAATGTGTTTTGTTTCACTTCGTTTGTGATTTTATTTCATCTTCTATCTTTTCAATAAGTGAACACCCGTGTTTAGGATTGTTTTCAATCATTTACTAAAGATGATTACGTGACTTGGGTAGACTATCCTTGAGGAGGGTGAATCAACTAAAGACCATCGTTTTAAAGTCTTTCCTTTCTCTCTTTTCCCCCTTTTTTGTGTGCAGAGGCAGAGGCCGACTACGGGTTTTTCTCCATCAATTCCCAATGCAAAGCCTTCATGTGTGAATGTGATCGCAAGGGGGCGCAATGCTTCGCAGACAAGCGGGGCTCGTTTAACCGCGACTATGTCAACTATGACAAGAGCAGCTGTTAAATGTTGAGTATGTAGGCCTACTCCTGAGGTTGGTCCAAAAACAGAGCGAGTTCAAATCCAGTGATACCCTTTTAAGGGATTAATTCCTCAGCAATAATTTATTATTGGTAGTGTGTTGGCAACCTCCTCGGTTCTTTCTGTGGCCTCTCTGGAATCTCCCATAAATTTGCACTAAGTTTAGTCGGGCACAATTTGCAGTCATCAGCCGACATTTGAAGCAAAACAAAAAACAGGTTAAAAAAAAAAAAGCCGCGTCGCCGCACCACTTTTTGGGCAAGCTCTATACCAGAAACCAGAGACCTTTTTTTGGCCTAATGAACCACTGAGAGCAGAAACATAACCACAGCAAACTCAGAAATTCAGGAGACTCTTTGATGCTGATGCAGATGTAAAACCTACGTTTCTACTTTGAATGACATCACAGTTTTGTTCATGAACATGGCCGCAATTTCGAAACAAAAGAAGGCACCAAAACGCCCTTAAAATGGCAATATGAAGATTGCAAATAAAGTTCAATGGAACACAAAGGGACATTTCAAGGATTGAATTTAATACAAATATCAATACACGGACCCTTTAAACGATTTCGATTTCGGCCTATAGGATCAATATTAATTTGCATGATTCATAAAGCATGATTAACAATGTTTGTAATAAAACAAATATCTCAGATGGAAAACAAAATACGACCAGGCGTAGTAAATCTGTTTAGCATATAGATTGTCAGGGAATTCTGAGGCTTGTTTTGACATTGAACAGGCTGCCATTTTGTTTGTAATCGCAACGAAGAGTAAGGATAACTACGATCCCTACCCCAGCATTTCACTGAGAATGTAACCTCAAAAAATAAAAAGTGAGCACTAAAAGTGGCCCTTTAAGAAAGATGCTCATGCGCTTTTTGGTCAATAAACTTCATCTATTTCTTGAAAAATGAGGGTACATTTAATACCCATCAAATACAGATCGACTTTAAATCGTATCACAATGTTGAGGAAAATAAAAAAGTAGACATAGTAACCACATAATAATATTGCGAGTTTTGTTTTATTGTGTCGCAAGCGTGCATGCATTTAGGGATTTTTGTTTGGCACTTCCTTGCATTTGAATCTCGGCCAAATCTTGATATTCATTCATTTCAACCATGGTTTGTCTGGAGCGGTTTTTGGTTTTCATATTAGTTCGTGATGAAGCATCGACTACGAGCCTTTCTGCCAATACCAATTTAGCTCTCTCTGGTTCCTTTGTGAATGCCACACGTGCACCCGACGATCACGGGAAAAGGCTTCGTCTGTCACTAAGGGCGCTCTCCAATATGGTCTTATTTGTTAATAACATGGACACATTTGGCATCACGACCTTTGTTACCCTCAAAGGAGCCCCCTACCACCCACCCACCTTCTTGCCACACCTTTGAAGCTCCGCCCTCGATGAATTCAAATGCCCCGACTTTAAAGGTTGTCGAGTGCCGTCATTTTGAGCCCCCACGTGACAAGAATGTCCTCAATGACTACTCACATGCTACCTGTTGGTCGGTTTTGCCCATGTCAGCATATTCAGACTTCATTAGGAAAAGCTTCATTTGTTAAATGGCCGTTTTCACTCACTGTATTAATATGTAGTTGGTCCGGTTCCATAGGGGAAAGATCGATGCATGCCGTGTATAGTGCAGCGGCTTTGTTCTTGAACACAGACTCCTGGGGGTGTAAAAGTAATGCCGCTCCCCCCCCCCCCCCCCGGTTAATCTGCCCCACCCCCACGGACAGATACCAGGCTGCAACCATGTATTGTCACGGAGACAGATTTACTTAGGAAATGCTGTCCCCTCCATGTTATTCTGTCCCTCTGCCTTACGAAAAAAATTGCTCCCCTTGTAATGATTTGCAACGTGTAAGCCTAGCACCTGGACAGTGTATTTTGTACTTTGTTTTACGCACAGGCTACCCGTCTATAGACGGACTCCTTGCTATAGGAATGCTCGTGTCTGACACGAACACTGACACTTCGTCCGTCTCCTCCACAAAAACAGCCACGACAGCTATGTAAACTCACTCCTCGTGATATCACTTTCCAAAATAGAATGCAAACGTACTCAGATAAATTGTCGGAAGAGTTGATAACGGAATGTGAGGATGAAAAATGTCGATGGGAACTTTGCAAAATAAAAATCAGTGACTTTACTATCCGCTATTCAAAAAGGAAAAAGAATGTAGAAAAATAGTCACAGAATCGATCAACGCCAGAAAAACAAAACTTGAAAAGCGATTTTGAAGAAGAATCTTTTGAGATAAACAAATTTCAAAGCACATTAGAAAACATGTATGATAAAGAGATTGAAGGACAAAGGGTTTATCCAGAGAAAGATGGTCTGAGGAAGGTGAAAAGAATAGTAGATACTTTTAAGGTCTTGAAAATAGCAATGCCTTGAAAAAACACATTACACAGCTGAAGATTGAAAACGGCAGCATAATAAAAGATCAAATTGAAATACTCATGAGCAGAAAACCTTTTACAAAAAACTTTACTCTTCAAATAGTGTTGATGCTGATCAAATGAACGAATACCTAAATGACACAGAATTTGATTTTGTGCTAAATGAAATACATAAAGATAAATGTGAAGCAATACTCACTGAACCAGAATATGCAAAAACATTACAAACTCTGAAAAATAATAAAAGCCCAGGTATAGATGCTAACTGTAGACTTAAACAGGTGTTTTGGAAAATTAAATTCCTCTTCATAGATTCAATGAATGGAAGTTATAAGGAAGGAGAATTCCCTACGTCACAACGCCGTGTTGTAATTTACTTTTGTATAAGAAAGGTGACCGAACCAATTTAAAAAAACTGGTAACCTATTGGTCTTTTAAACATTGATTATAAAAAGCTGCCAAAGCTTTAGCAAATCGTTTATCAAGTAATAGGAAACATCATTCAAGAAGATCAGTCCGGTTACATCAAAGGAAGATTCATAGGAAACAGAATTAGATTAATTGATGATGTCCTTCATTTTTAGTAACTCAATGATAGCAAAAGAAAGGGAAAAAAATGGCAATTCGCTTCTTAGACTATGAAAAGGCTTTTGACACAGAAGAATGGGACTCTCTAGCTCGATTGTTTTCACATCTAATAAGAAATAGAGTATTAAGTTAAATATTTTCATTTGGATATCTTCATGAAGGGCAGAAAAGTTCAAAATGTATACCCTTTGGAGTGAATTCATCAAAACAACATGTGGAACTGGCCTTAGGTGTAACAAATCTAGGGGAACAAAAAAAACCTGGTGGGACACAATAATAATGGTCCCGGGCACTTTTATACCTAGGTAATTCTGTCTCCCGGACAGTTTTACCGGGGTAAGAATTACCGTCTTCACCAGCAAATTTTCCCAACAATATGAGGGAAGGTAATTCTCCCCTGCTTTCGTCCCGGGGCACTTTTAAATAGGAAATTCTGTCGCCAGGACAGTTTTACCGGGAGACAAAATGACCGCCGCAAATGTTCCCAACAATTATGAGGAAGGGTCATTCACCCCCTCTATCGACGGCCGGTTCAACAATACAAGTGCGCCTTCGGTGCTCGTTTTAAACTTTGCTATCTTGTGAAAACTCTTGACTATCAAAACGTGCTTTAATTGAAGACAATTAAGGATTGAAATCCTATAGGGGAAACAAAAAGAGGAAAGTAATTTAATTATTTATAAAAGCGTTTGAAAACTTTTTATCTTGTTGTCATTATTGTTTAGTATTCTCCGGCCGTTCGTTTTATCGCGCAGTAACGCAAAATAGCCCTTTCATTTTGTCCCTTGCGCCGTCAGTAACCGATAACCGATATTTCCACATATACAAAGCCCCATTGTCCTTATTGTGACACCAAACTTTTGTTGTGATGGGAAAACACTGCAGCGGTGGTCAGCTGTCAACGATCCGTCGAACGTTATCAAAATTGGTTTATTCTGTTTGAGAGATTGAGGTCAATGCAATTATTATGACCAACCTAAAATTAAGAATAACCGATTGGACATCATTGTTTTCTCTTCGAATCCTCCACTGTGAGATAGGTCAATCAATAAGTTTCGTTCGGTTTTTGGAAATTTATCAAATTGTGATTGTTGCGTCAGTTGTTTTTCAATATACCTTAGAGACAAAGGTGCATTTATCCTGCTCCAAATTTCGGTGAAAACAAAGAATGGACAAACGTATAAATATTGGTGTGGAACAAGAGACGAACCACTTCCTTGCAAGCTCTCCGAGTGATACGCAGCGAGTTCAGACCGGCTCCTCCGAAGTATTTCCCCGTCGATATCCTGACATCACCCGATAAAAAATCACCATGAAGCTCCTTCTTCTACTGGCGGCGGCAGTTGCCCTAGCGAGTAAGTCTGAACATCTTTATTCATCATTGTTGTTGCAGTCTATTAGACTCTTTTATGGATTGTCGCCACACTGCTGGATGTGTTGCACAACATTCTGGGACAGTTTTCACTTTTTTTCTCGTAATTTCACGATACAACCTAATATATACCTTCACTGCACACTTTTGGTTCGTCCGTAGACGTTACATCTTGAACACTAAACCTAGAACTAGTTTTACTAATTACTTACAGCTTATTGACAGTCAGAACACACTAATCAGGTTTCACCAAGAACATATCTCTTTCAAAGTTTTAGAGATGTAAGTCGATTTACACCTGCATCTGTCAACATAAAACATTACTTGAGATTTAGTGCAACAAAGTAACAATAAAAGGATGGAATAATATCAAGTTTCGATAATAATAAACTTACCTTTCGCAATATGAAAACTTGCACAACATGAAAATCGCCGAAATGAGATCTTCACTCAGAATTCCTTTCACGGGTTGTTAGAAGGGTATAGAGTTTGTATTCTGTATTATTGCTTTCTCCGCAGACGGCGCAGCATCGCGTGACACTACCAGTGTAATTCAGTTTGGCAATATGATTCTGTGCCTTGTGGATCTGGGTGTCTGGGATGGGCTAGAATACAACGGTTATGGCTGTTACTGTGGCAAAGGAGGCTATGGCACAGCGCTGGATGCTACCGACCAGTAAGAATCAATCACTTTGAATCTCCAAAAACACCTGCTACTAACCTTTATCATGCAGCCACAATTTCATTCGTGTTCCTTGAATGATAATGTTTTTTGTGTGCCAAAAGGAACCAGACTATTATTCCTTCTAGCCTTGCTTTCGTTACCATGCTTTGAATGGAAAAAATCACGATGGCCGCAACATGATAATGGTCTATTAGCTACATATTTAAACTGCTCAATCCCAGAAAAATAAATAGTTTTCAATTCATTTTTCTAAAACTTAACTGTGAACTTCCAGAGCAGCTCGCTAATAAATTCAAGCTTATTTGCGAACATGCGCAGAGGCATGCAGAAATGTATTTACGGAACACAGATGTCGTTTCACGACGCTTATCCTGAATTCAGTCGATCATCCAACCGATGAAGACACGTTTCTTGTATTAAACGTAATATACATACCAGATAATCAGCTTGTAAGCTCAGATTCACAACAGTCATGTGGAAACATTTCATTGAGTTCAAGTCGAGATATGGTTTTTGTTTTTGGATTGTAGATGCTGTGTAGAACACGATAACTGCTACGGTAGAGCTCCAGTGGAGGGCGGATGCAATACCTTGGATACCTACCTGATCGACTACGACTACGAAAAAACCACTGACGCTAATGGCAACTGTGCCATCAAATGCAGTAAGAACTTTTTAAAGACATTATCTTTGTAAACGCGCTTAGGATGCAAAAGTTGTACATCTATACTAGAAAATAATGTCGATGATGTCCAGCGATCAGACAATCGACTGACTTGACATCATTGGCGAAAATCATGCAATATGATCAAAAGGTTGGGCGTGATTCCTCATTGTTTTCTCATAAGTTCTAATATCCACTGCGCTGAAACTTCGGCTGGTTAGGCTTTGAACATTCCTCCTTGGGTTCCGAGTGGTGTTATCATTGGAAAAGAACAAACCACAAGGAAAGCAAATGATCCTATATACCTTCCAAAAAGCCTACGCAATATTCTAGACAAGCTTAAGCCTCCCTGCACACATTGCAAGTTAATGTGTTTTGTTTCACTTCGTTTGTGATTTTCTTTCATCTTCTATCTTTTCAGTAAGTGAACACCTGTGTTTAGGTTTTATTTAATAATTACTTATGGTGATAGCGTGACTTGGGTAGACTATCCTTGAGGAGGGTGAATCAACTAAAGACCATCGTTTTAAAGTCTTTCCTTTCTCTTTTGTCCCTCTTTCTTGCAGAGGCAGAAGCCGACTACGGGTTTTTCTCCATCAATTCCCAATGCAAAGCCTTCATGTGTGAATGTGACCGCAAGGGGGCGGAGTGCTTCGCCGCCAAGCGGGGCTCGTTTAACCCCGACTATGTCAACTATGACAAGAACGGTAAATGCTGAGCATGTAGGCCTACTCCCGAGGTTGGTCCGAACACAGCGATTTCAAATCCAGAGATACCCTTTTAGGGATTAATTCCTCAGTAATAATTTATTCTTTAAACCTAGTTATCAAAAAATGGTAAAAGGGTCTATAAAAATTCAATTTCGGCCTATAGGCTGAATATTAATTTGCATGATTATTATTAATTTGCAATTCAGAAAGTTTGATTAACCAATACAAATATTTGTATCAAAAAAGATGAGCAGGATTTCTTTTGCATCTGCTTTAGCACAGAATGTCAGAGTACAGACTAGATACTCAGGCTTAATTGTTTTGACAATATACAGTCAGCCATTTTGTTTGTAATTGCAACGAACTGTAAGGATAACTACAATTTCCGCTCAAGTATTTCACTGAGAATGTAACAAAAACAAGTTTCAAAAGTGAGCACTAAAAGGGGCCCTTTTAACAATGATGCTCATGTGCTTTTTGGTCATTCAACTACAATATTTCTTGTAAAATGAGGCTAAAATAAATACGGATTAAATACAGATCGACTTTTAATCGGATCACAATGTTGAGGAAAATAAAAGAGTAGACATAGTAACCGCATAATGATATTGCGAGTTTTGTTTTATTGTGTCGAAAAGCATGCATGCATTTGGGGATTTTCTCAATTCGGGCGATTCACAATGCAGTGCGCCACCAAATGTTTGCCTCGGAGAGTTCATTTTTCCCAGTGCTTTATAGGAGATGGTCGACAATTTCGTAGCGCGGGACATTTGAAGTTGTAATTTGCCCGGTCAGTTGTTTCGTGAATGTTTGATTCGAGAATCAATTTGCCCTTTTGTATTTTTTTATCAATATGATGGGATTTTTAGGAGGCGGCGGAACGCTTTGCCCCAATGTATAACATAATAGCTCAAGTTGTCTACTGGCACTCATTCAAATGGGGCATGTTTTGTCGACGGTAAACTTGAAAAATGGAGTCTTCAAGACAAACTCTTGGTGGCGCACTGCATTGTGAATCGCCCGAATTCAAGGGTGAAATATTTTGTTTGGCAAGTCCTTACATTTGAATCTCGGCCAAATCTTGATGTTCATTCATTTCAACCATGGTTTGTCTGGAGCGGTTTTTGGTTGTCATATTAGTTCGTGATGATGCATTCCGTGTACAGTGCAGCGGCTTCGCTCTTGAACACAGACTTTAAAAGGTAATGCTGCCCCCGGTGAAATTTATAAAAAGTTATGAGATCTTCCTTTTTGTTTGGTATCCTCGAGTCACCATAATTGACGCATATAACGCTTGCAACGCGCGCGCGTTGTCAAACGCAAATTGAATGCGAGTGCATCAAAACATTGTCCTCGTCGTTTTAGGTGGACTGACAATATATATTTTTTTGCAAAGAACACTTTTTGAACGTTTAAAATGTTTTATGCTGTCGTGACACATGAGGGCGCCTTTGCTATGCTTTCAATTTAGGAACACACTGTTCATATTAGGATGTTTCTCTTCAAATGAAACCCCAAAATTCTGCTCATTTAGAATATTAAGTTTTCCTATATTGTCTTAGCAAAAATGAGGAATGGGAATCTACCATTTGCCAAGGGGGTGTCACGAGTGTGAGGGGCATGTGTAAATGCAAATAAATAAAGGAGCGTACCATTTTTATGGTATTGAATTAAATATACGTGATTGAATGTTTACAAGCAATACATGGAACGCTCTTCAAATGTGTGACAGGCGTAAAAAGTATTCCCCCCCCCCCTTAGATTCATTCTGCAAACCTGTATTTCCTATTCAAATCAACTTCTTCAATATTCATTCTCAGTGACCAATCACTTTCGCCGTTACCACAATAGAGACTGGGAATAAAACGGGGCGCGGCCTGCGTTAGCGTCATTCCAACGCTTACTGGATCCGAGGGAGCGCCTTGTCTAATCGACTTTCCCTTTCCCGTATTTTCATCTTTCAGGTAATTATTTGATTTTATAATATTTTTTCACTTCCCATGGTTGGTTCAATCTTCATGTAATCTAGTTGCATTTTTCGTCGTTATGATTAGAGATTTAGATATTGTGATGTTAAGATGATAAGGTGGACGCTGTTAGATGACCTGTTTATATCGTATCCGTTACTCGATTGTCTTGAAAGAAGTCGTTTTAAAGTTTGTGTTGTTAATTTCCTAAAGTTTTCGTCGTTTGTTTTCCCACATTTTATTACATTTCCAGGATTGCAGCCGTATAGGTAATTTCTGGCGGGATACTGACAATATTTTCTTGAATATGAAATATAATGTTTGGGGTTTTGGTTCCACTTTGTTTTGACTCACCCTGTATAATAATTATTTGGCTTAATTCCTATTTATGATTGTAATTTTAAAAATATTTCTAAAATCATTCAAATGCTGAACGGATCCGAAGGAATACCTTGTCTCATCGAGTTCCCTTTTCCCGTATGTTCATCTGTCAGTGAGAATAAGTCACCACTGAGACGCAGAATTACGCAAATGTAAGAATGTATAATGTTGTCTTCTGTCCTGTATAATGTATAGTATACTTATGTACGTACATTTGTTTTGTAATGTATATAATGGAGGGGGTATTATGTATGAGACTTTTGTAGTGCAGAAAATGGTCTATACATCTGAATTGAGGGGATTTTTTAAGCCGTACACGTATCCCATACCAGCACTATTTCTAATTAGTCCACATCAGTGCTAAGTCGTCGAAGGATGGCAAACAACACCGAGCATGTCCAGGGGTTTGTCCAGGGGTCTGTCCAGGGGTCTGTTCAGTCTTCCGTAAGTACTGACACACTATACATTATACAGTACAGAAGACAAAATGATACATTTTTTACAATTAAACCACCGTTCCGTGTATTTTGTTTGTATACGTACGTTTATTGTACCGGTATCCAATACCATATGAAAATGGCAGGCTACTTGTACTTGAGTTATTTGCATTTACGCATGGCGGGACGTGGCGGGGTAAATGCGGCCTTCAAATTGGTCAAGGGCACACAAAAAAGAGAAAATATCCTGGTTAGACCTTGATCAAGGGCCTACTATGGTAGATTGTGTTTTAGTCCCTACCTGATGATTCCGTAGGTTTTACCTAGAACATTTTTCTGGGCTTTTCCTCCCACCTCTAAAACTGTAATTTCTTCTCATTGTCTTCTCTCCACGGGTTTCTTCAGGCTTTCGAGCTGCAGGGCCAAGGGCGCTTTTGAGGAATCCTTGGTTTCATTACCAGCCAGATATTTGTAAAAAAAAAAAAAATTAAAATTACAAATATTGTTGTACTTTTCTTTCTCAAAACAAAAGTTAGAAAAATGTTGTTTGTACTTCTCTCACGTTTCTTTGAAAACCTCTGCTTTATAGCCAACGATCATTTACATATTCCGGGTTTTTTTTCAACAGATCAGTTGCAATGAAGGCTTTTAGTTTTACACGCATTGTGCTTATGGTGTGCGTGGGCTGCGTCTTCCCAGTTGAAGGTGAGTAGACTATAAAAAAAACATTACAGTGGATAAGTTATGAACACATTCATATAGACGCTTTCTTTTTTGCAACAATTTATATACATTTTAACAACTGAAGCAATTCAAACGTTTAAATTAATTACTTGGTTACTTATCGTCAGCCGATTGTTTTCGTACGATGTCTCAATGGAAAGTTTATAACTACGGTAATGCTAACAAATCTAGAATTAAATTTGAAAATCTATTTTTCAGGGTGCCTTACCATACCCAAAAAGCAATATGATCATATAATAACCTTATATTATATATTTCATTATTACTACTACCATATTATACTTTATACTTTATTATTACTACTACATTATGTATTTCTACACGTGGTTAGATAGCCCAAAGTCGTATTTCGGACTCAAAAATGGGATTAAAGGAAGGTATTTGTTTGTGCACAAGTCTATGGGAATGTGTCCTATTTTCGGTGATTGATATTTGTTTTAAACTCATAAGTTATATGTTCTTTTCCCACACACGTCGCACTCCAGCGGTGCCGATTGGTCCTGAGAGCGTGGTCGGGTTCGGTGAGATTGTTATGTGCTTGGGGGATCTGGGCTTTTCCGAAGGGTTGGCTTACGACGGCTACGGCTGTTACTGCGGCATAGGAGGCCAGGGCACACCGGTGGATGAAACCGACAGGTCCGACGCAAAAATCATCTCCTCGAATTCGTATTAGTCTCACAGTTAAATTCCAGCAAATCGACCCCAGCAAACTAAAATGGGTTCAAGTCAAAGTTTTAAACAGACGTGTCAATTATAGACCAGCTCTCTATTTATAAATTTAACTTTATATCTTCGTAAAAAAGCGCAGTTTGTATGAATCATCACAATGAATCCATGTAGACAAGAAAGTGTTGCCACGGTACAGCTTTTCTTCGGACATTAAACATAATTATTGAGGATTTTGCAACGTACTTAGAGCTTGCTCTGTATTAATGGAACACAGAATATCACAACGCTTATCCACAATTTGGTGGAACATCCGTAAATTAATGCAGTTAGTGTTATAATGTGATCAAATGCCGGAGATATTGATAGCTATTTGCTAGTGTAGAAACACATACAGTAGGTTGGAGAAGTTGCGAAGTTGAATTGCAATACCTTTGTCTATAGTTGCTGTCAAGAGCACGATGACTGTTACGGTAGAGCTGTAACAGCGGAGGGCAACTGCAATACCTTGGAAACCTACGCCATTCCGTACAGCTATACAAAATACACTGATGAATCTGGAAAATGTGCCATCAAATGCAGTAAGCGATTTTGTTAAAGATATTATCTTTGTAAACAAATGACGGTTCACGAATTCTACATCTATGCATTAAAGGTATATAGTATCATTTGCATTTATCCAAAAAATAACCCATCGAAGAAGCGTACTTTTCAAGATTGTACCGGTACTCAACATCCCATGAAAACATTCCATCGTTCTAATAAAAACTAGAAATGCAGGCGATGTTCAACGATCATCCAATCGACTGATTTTTGGAAATAGTTTTATTGACGAAATCATATTATGTGGTCAAAGTGTAGTGAATGGTTTTTCACTGTTTTCCCAAAAGTTGCAATATACACTGGGCTGAAACTTCAGCGGGTTAGGTTTTGAACATTCTTCTTTTGGATTTGAGCTACGTTTATATTAAACTCTAATTTCTCTCCCCTCCCTCCCCCCTCTCTCTCTCTATCTGTCTCTCACCATCCGTCTTTTCTTTTTGTTTCCAGAGGCAGAGGCTGACTACCCTTGGTATTCCATCAATCCCAAATGCGAAGCCTTCATGTGTGAATGTGACCGCATGGGGGCGCAGTGCTTCGCTGACAAAAGGTCTTCATATAACCACGACTTCGTCGACTATGACAAAAACAGCTGCTAAATACTGAGACATCTTCCTGAGGTTGCACCGAAACAGAGTGATTTTCAAATTCGGAAGATAGCCCTATCAGGGATTAGTTCTTAGCTTGTATAATTGATTTGTTTAAATTTGGTTTACCTATGGTTGAAACGTAAATTGTTCGGCTCAGTTGGAAATTGATTAACCAATATGATTAACCAATACAAATTTTCCGCAA